TGACGGAGAAACTTTATAACCCGATGGAGGGCCAATACGCACTACCACCGTATATTCCCATGGATACTTACCACATGCCTGTGTACCGTGCTTCAAGAACGTATGGGCTGTACGCGGGATCAGCAATGAATCTGATTGCATCATCGATAGAAGCAGAGGGAACCATGGCGCCCGTGTGTTCAACGGGAGTCACGCGACGCCCTGTCTGACAATATTTTACGAAGTACCTTATGTATAAGGCGCCATGGTGGATTCATCCATGCATTGTACTTGCTCCAGTCAAATTTTAAAAGCGCCTCCGTCTTTATCGTATGACCAGTATTGTCGTAGCTGAGCAGTGTCGCTTGATGCAAAGGCGTCAACGTGGTTAGGTCCGAAGTGGTTTTGAACCTGATCAAAGAAATCGGGATACAGCTTCCAGCACGATGTGTAGAAGATAGCGAGAAAGTTGGTGTCCGCCGTGCCCTCATGAACCCGGCACCACATGTCTGGTAATTTATTCAGTTCACCTGGAACATGTGCTATCACGAAGTTGAGTTGCGCAATGATGTGATGCCATCGTTGCAGCATGCTGTTCAATTTCAGTTGTGTGTTCATGTATATCAGCGCTTTGTGATCCGTGTGCACAGTGAAGCGCTGGCCTATTAAATGATCATGGAAGTGGACCAATGCATATGTGAGCGCTAACAATTCCTTCATTGGTGTCGCTTATATCTGCTGCGCCTTGTTGAGAGTCTTTGAAAAGAACATCGGGTAGTGCTTGCGGCCGTCAATTAACTGAAATAGTGCACCGCCGATACCCTAATCACTGACATCAGTCTCTAATTCGAGTCGAACCCCGTCAACCGGAAAATTTAACCGTACCGCAGATACGATTGCTTCCTTCATCTGATCCCATGCCAATTGATGTTCTGGTTTCCAACGATCCCCAATCGGTTCCTTCGGCTTGAGTTTCGAGAACGATCGTAGTGGGGCCACTTTATGTGCAAAGTTAGATAAGTGCTCATGTAGAAAGTTCCCCAATGCAGATGCTATGTCCCTTTGGCATCGCGGCACTGGCCAGTCGATCAACCGTTGTTGTTTCTCATGATCAGGGTCAATTTCTTTTGCAGAAACCTTCTTCCCTAGGACCTTAACCTCGCTTACTGCAAAGTGACACTTCTTCTGGTTAAGCTTGAGGCTGTTCTCGGCAAGCCGTCGGATGACCTCTTCCACTGTTGCAATATGTTCCTCGTAGTTATCAGATGCAATTATAAGGTCATCGACGTAGCACTACACGTCTAAACCCGCCATCAGATTACTGATTGTGCGCTGGAATTGAGACGTGAGTGTCGACAATCCGAATGGGGCCGAAGTGAAGGAGTATTGGTTACTGTCCCAAGTAAACGAGAACAAATGTTGTGAGTCCTCGTGCACGGGAAGGCGATGATATGCAGCCAATAAATCTAACGTGGTATAATATCGCTTGCCTCTTAAGTTACTAATAATCTCATTGACCTTCGGTAGCGTAAACTGGTCGCCCGGAATAAGGGCGTTGATCTGTCGCAAATCCAAACACACCCGAACCTTAATGAGTTTCCCCGATGGTGTAAATGATGGTACTGCTAGTAAAGGCAGGTTGACCACTGACGCCGACGTACGACGTTTGGTCACCAATTCATGTTCCCATTTATGTACCTGTTGCGTGGCGTGTGGTTTGTACTTGTCTGACACAAAGTTCCGTGTTTGTCGTCGAAGACCCAAAATTTTATCGCGAGGTATGGGGAGGGATACTTCGCTACCTGGTAGAGTACATCGAACGGCATCCAAAATGGTCTCGTTGGCATCTAAATACTGGCGTAGTCGTTGCCGTATATCCTCAGCCTCGGACAAATCTGGTGCCATGCGCATTTTGGAAACAGAGTTGATGGTCGAGTAAGACCTAAGCCCAATTCGCCCATAATATTCATTCCCAGAATTACATCAATATTATCGGGTAAATTCATAAGTTCAAACGTACAACCTGTAGCAGACTTTGTACCATATTGAACCGTCGTGGCGTGTATCTTGCCAGGGCGCGGAGTGCGAAAAGCTTTGTCCGCCAAGTATATGTAACTGTCCTTAGCTGGTGGTGTAATGGACAGGTGCGCCTTTGCTGCGGATGTCTGAGTAATAACGGAGCGGTTCGCCCCCGTATCAGTGAGTGTGCGCATCGCATTTCCGTTGACTTGTAACGTAACATATACACGGTTGTCAGTAAGGAACAATTTATCTTTTATTGCAAATATTCGTGTTGCCGTTCGACCAAACGTCACACACACGTTTAACTCAGACACTTCAACAACTCAATTTGAGCTTGGCTCCTCTTCCCACTCGGCTGGCCCTTGCTCGGCCTCCATCAACTCATCTTCACTGTCCACATACGACTCGTCGACCATATTATGAATATGCATCACCTCACTTTCTCCTACCTCATCTGGCGTCAGATCAGGCATATGATCATCCCCATCCACGAGATTAACTCGAGGACGGAAGTTATTACCCGACGCCTGTTGTGTGGGAGTGGATGTTCCTCCAGCCAATGTACGGTGTGGTGGCGCACCCCCACGTTGCGTATGGCTGCCCGTGTTCGTTGCTGTCGGTACATGGTGCGTGTGCTGGGCCAGGAGGGAAATTCTGCTCACATGACCGACATTGAGCCTTAGGGTTCGATGCTGGCGGCGCATGCGGATTAGCTCGTGTGTTGGCCTCCACACGCGTTCGTGTGCGTGAACGTGAACACCCGGGGATTTGCAGTGGTCGGGATAGGTTTGCCCGACGGTGTTCTTCCGCCTTATCAATACTCACCCGAAATACATCACGCATTTGTGCCGCGGAATATTCCCGCCAATTAGGGTGCATACGAAGAGTATCACGGTAATATGCACCCCCCGCAGTTTGATTCATTAGGTTGAGCATACCATGGTTGCGGTATACTTGTAGTGGATTATCATACTGTCGCATCTCCATAAAGTCTACTTTGCGTTCAAAATCCCAAAGTTGTGTCCCTAGTGGCACCGAAGGGTTTAACTTCATGCAAGCCAATACATTTTTTGTATGCGTTATTCTCCAGATCTTGTTCGTGTGTGCGTACAATCTAAGCAGTGGCGTCCAGAAACGACATGGACTGCAATTTTTGTCCGTTCTCTACAATAAAATTCAAAAACGCCTTGGGTGCTCCTTCTTTCTGTAGTGCCCTATGTAGGCCCATCTGCATATGAATCGGTTCTAATTTGTGAAATTTCGCATTCTTATGCCAATCCAAAATAAACGCATGCAACTGTATCTTCTGCGAACTATCCAAATAATAGCTGCCCTGTGGATTAGGTGGCCATTCCTTGAGTGTTCGTTTATCTACCGTTATTGAGCAAGTCTTCAACGTCTCGTTAGATGTGCGAATTAAGCCCTGCAACGAACGAACGTCCTCAGTGCATCCTTCAGCTTCTGCTTGCATCATACGTTGGGTGAGAAGGAATACCTGCGTTTTCATCTCTGCCGCGGTAGCTTCAGCAATGCACGCCTCCGTAGGTGGTGATATCTTACGTTGTTTCACGTCCTGCGGGTCTTCTACGTAACGATCGTGGTAAACAGGAAAGTGCTTACGGTATGCAAGTGTATCGATAGGTACATTTGCATTATCCTGGCAGTTCTCCTCTCTTTCTTCTGGAGATTCCGGACGACGATGCTGTTGTAATTTGTTCTTGTATAAATTCGCTGCCGCTTGACCGTGAGTAGGCTGTTGGCGTGAAGGTTTCATCACTTTGCGAAATGCCTCAAAGGACCGCTTCGCCGTCGATGACAACTTTTAAGCGGTGGCCATGTCCATATGTAAGTCCGTTGGGTCCAAAAAAATTCTACCAGGTGATTTCACCAAAGTTGTCGATTCCTGATACCAATCCGGACCATCAGCCTGCATCTCATCAGGAATCGGAATCGTCTGAGCTCGATTTTGAGCGTTCTTCAGCAACCGCTCTCTGCGCGTAACATAGACATTCTCGTAAGGAGCCACTTGAGGTACGGGCTTCGTGCGACCAATCCTGCGCTTCACCGGGTTAATTTTCTTCCTGTTGATAGTCCCGCTGTTAGGTGACTGGTCGGTTGGTGGCAACTCTGCCTGTGTTGGGTATTGAGGAGCAAAACTACCGCCCATTGGCCCTGACCTTCTTCAGCAATTACAGGAGTGCCACGACTTCCACGGTATCT